CGTCAACTTTCCCGCTCAAGCGTACTGTAAAAGTACTGGATGGGTGAAATCTCCGCTCGACGCCCGCTCGAGCTTGAGACACAATCCTCCGCTCGAGCGCCCAATCCTCTGCTCGAGCGGACTGTAAAACAGTGCAGAGATACTGGATGCTCGGATTCCACGCTCGAGCGGAAGTGCAAAATCTGGGAATTCCAGGTTGCACCTCCAAGCCAAAACCCAGTTTCAAAAGCATCAAAACCGATCCTCTTGGGCTGAATTTCTAGAAAACACTTGTAAACATATAGAATATCACGTGTCAAAGCTCAATTTTGAGAAATCAAAGCCCAAGGGTGTTTAATTCAAACTCAATTTCAAACCAATTTCAAGAACAATATGAACATGCAAACACGCATGAATTTAAATCATTTTGAAGTTCCAATTTGATGCTCTAAGGAGCCAATTTATCCAAAAACAAGTTGAAAACATGGACCATTACAAAATTATGGACATGCATGTACCATTTTACCATGAATTCAACTCAAAACTCAATAATTCAAACATGCAAGCATGAAATGAGCTCTATATCAACATGTATGAACTAAACCAAGACTTAACTCTACAATTGAAGCATGAATCATGCAAAAATCAATTCTATGACAGCAACAAGAAGATGAATGTCCTACCTTAGTCTTGTATTCAAGGTTTGGGAGCTCAAAGTAGCAATCTACACTTCAATTACCAAGCAATTCTCCAAGTTCCAAGCAATTCAAGATGAAATCCAAATTCTCTCACTCTCTCCCTCTCATGGTCGGCTATACACTCAAGAGAAAAGGCTGAGCAAATGTTTTGGTTATGTGTAATGAGCTCAAAGATGTATAGGTAGTGGCCACTCACCATGGCAAAATGGTAAATAAGTGCAACCTTGCATTAAGTCAATATTTAATCTAATTTAATCATACCTAATCAGTTTTCAGATAAATATACCGTAAATTCGCATTAATTATGAGGATCATAAAGCATCAATCAATTCCCGGTTCGGCCGCCGATAAGGCCTTCAATTAGCAGTTTAAACATAGAACACAAACAGATCAAATAATCAATCAACAGATAGAATGCAAATTAACATACATACTTAGTCAATTCAGTTCCAGTTTTCAGTCAGTCAGTTCAGTACTTTAATCAGATTATCAGTCATTATCAGTTCAGTTATCAGTCATAATCAGTTCAGTTTAACGGTAATCAATGTTTATCGGTACGCAGTGGTGAGGGTTATTACAGTCGATCTCGGGAGATTAGAGATCGGAATCGTTCATGGTGCACAGATTTAAGTTGAAACCCTATGTCGAAAGAGGGAAGAGAAGCTTGCGGAGGCTCTGGAGGATGATGAAGTCATGGAGAGGTAACGGTCGAGGACAGAGTCGACGGAGGGGTTGCCGAAGGCGAAGGTGTTGCCAGCGTTGGACAAAGTGATGACGGCGGCTTCAGTGCCGCACAAGTTGCAGAGCTCGTCGCTCTTCTTGAAGAGGCCATCTGTGGAAAGGAAGAGAGTGGGGAAGAAAGTGGGTATAAAAGTCATATAAAATATTTAAATAATAAATTTGTCCTTTATGCAAGACTTTATAATTATGAGAGGGTTTAGAAAGTAAATTTTTTTCTTAGTCCTTTTAACAATGAAAGGAAGGTAAAGGGGGTTTATAGCCAAATTTCCCAATATTCTTTTGCTTATAAATGGGAGTATAAGATTCACTTTAGATAAGTGAAACAATTCATTTTTTCTTTCTTTTCTTGATGTAGGATTGTAAAATAAAAATTAAATGGAAGTTAGTCAATGAAAATTTTCTTAATTGTTTAAAATTAAGAAAATTCAATAATTTATATAAATTGGAACATAAGATTCACTTTATGTAAGTGAAATAATTCACCTTTTTTTTTTCCTCAATGTGAGATTGTAAAATAAAAGTTAAATGGAAGTTAGCCAATGAGAATTTTCTTAATTGTTTAAAATTAAAAAAATTTAATAATTTTAGAATGAGGGTTTGGAGCTCCCAGAAATCTTCTATCTAAAAACCCCATTTTCCTTATGTAATATAAGTGAAATAACTCACTTTTTCCTTCTTTTCCCGATGTCGGATTGTGTAAAATAAAAGTGAACAATTGTTTGAACGAGAAATTTATTTCGAATCAAGCAATCTCAGCCGTTTAATCTTTGATGAGGTCAATCTTTAATTTATTTCAAGTCAAACAAATTTAACTAATATATTTTGATAAAATTGCTAAACTCAAAACCAGAGAATCAGTCAAACTGAAAACGGTTCACCCGATCGACTAGGTCAAAGGACTAATTAACTTATATAAAAATAAATTAATTGAAACATTTAAATTTTATTTTAATTTTAAAATTTAAATTGTTTTGAATTGAAACATACATAACATTATAATATTAAATGGGAGCATAAGATTTATATAGTGAAACAACTCATTTTTTTTCTTATTTTTTTGATGTGAGATTGTAAGAAAAAAGTTAACAATTGTTTGGACGGAAAGTTCATTTCTAATCAAGCAATCTCAGTCGTTCAATTTTTAATAAGGTCCATCTTAGTTTATTTCAAATAAAACAAATCTAGGCAATATATTTTGAGAAGATAGCTAAAAACGTGGTTAAACCAGTGAATCAGTCAAATCGAAAATGATTCAACCTAACCAACTAAGTCAAAAGATCAACTAATTTACAACAAAATTAATTAATTAAAAATTTTAAAATTTAAACTATCTTGAACTGAAACATGCACAATACTACAATATTAAATGGGAGTATAAGATTCGTTTTATATAAGTGAAACAACTCACTTTTCTTTCTTTTCTTGATGTGAGATTATAATTATTTTAAAGTTAAATATTATGAGAGTTTCAAAATCTTATACAAAATTATTTTTAAAATCAAAATCTCTATGCCTGATTGTAAAATAAAAGTCAAACTGAAGCTAACTAATAGGGATTTTTTTAATTGTTTAAAATTAAGAAAATTAAAAAAAAAATGGTATGAGATATTGAGTATAGGGTTTCTCACTAAAAATCTCATTTTGCTTATATAAATGAGAGTATAAGATTCACTTTATGTAAGTGAAATAATTCACTTTTTTCTTCTTTTCTCGGTGTAAAATTGTAAAATAAAAGTTAAATGTAAACTAGCCAAAGCGGATTTTCTTAATTTTTTAAAATTAAGAAAATTCAATAATTTATATAAATGAAAGCATAAGATTCACTTTGTGTAAATGAAATAATTAATTTTTTTCTTCTTTTTTTTTTCCAGATGTAGGATTGTAAAATAAAAGATAAATGGAAGCTAGCCAATGAGAATGTTTTTTAATTGTTTCAAATTAAGAAAATTCAATAATTTTAGAACGAGGGTTTGGAACTTCTAGAATGTTTTTCCCTCAAAACCCCTTTTATAAGATTCACTTTATATAACTGAAACAACCCACTTTTTCTTCTTCTTTTTTTTTCCCAATATAAGATTGTAAAATAAAAATTAATAATTGTTTGGGCGAGAAGTTCATTTCTAATCAAACAATATTAGTTCTTTAGTTTATTTCAAATCAAACAAATCTAACCAATATATTTTGATAAAATCGCTAAAATTACGGTTAAACCAGCAAATCATTCAAATAAAAAATAATTTAGCTTAATCAATTAGATCAAAAGACAATCTATTAATCTAAATAAATTTAAAATTATAATAATCTATCCCATGATTTATAACTTTTAAATACAAATTTAAAATTATCATAATTATCTCATAATTTTTGTATTAAAGAGCAGTAAGAGTGATGTTGAGATTATCAATATATCTATATATTTTACAAAAGAATACTTTTAAGAAGAGATATTATGAGAGTTTCAAAACCTCATATAAAATTATTTTTAAAATCAAAACCTCTACGTAGGATTGTAAAATAAAAGTTAAATAGAAACTAACCAATTGAGATTTTTTTGATTGATTAAAATTAAGAAAATCAAAAAATTAATATCAGATATTAATCGTAAGGCTTTTCACTAAAAATTTTATTTTACTTATATAAATGGGAGTATAAAATTCACTTTATGTAAGTGAAACAATTCATTTTTCTTTCTTTTCCCGATGTGAGATTGTAAAATAAAATGAAAATGAAAGCTAATCAATGGAAAAAAAAATTAATTGTTTAAAATTAAGAAAATTCAATAATTTTAGAATAAGAGTTTGGAGCTAGTAAAAGGCTTCTCCTTGAAAACCCTATTTTCCTTATATAATATATAAATAGATGTTAAAAAAAGCATTTGTGTTAGTAAAAATGAATTAAATTTAGTAAAAATGTCTTGTATCCTTCAATTTTTTCATCTTTCTCTTTAAGAGTGATGCTATGGATCCCAAATAATCTACCAAACCTCTCACGTGGATGTGGGACTTACACATGTGGGTTTGTGTGGATTCTCACACCATGTAAGAGATTTGGTAAAAAATTTAATAAATTATTTGAGTTTCATAGCATTTTTCTTACTCCTATTCTAAGAGCACTTATTAGCATGACCTTTTTTATTTTACAAAGTTTATTATTGGAACAAATGACTTTCTGAAACTTGTATTGGAACGATATGGGAGATTGTTTGTGATGTTGGCTTGTATTAAAATTTTAGTTAAATGTTTGTATCTTGTCTATTATAATCATTTATAATGGATAGAATTGGAAGATATAGCCAACGGACATGCAACACAATCCAAGTTAACCTCTCTGTATTTGTAATGATGTTTCCAAGAAAACTAACTATTGGAACATGGGAAATTGCTTGTTCAAATCATCCACATTAGAAATTAAAGAATTACCCATATATGAGAGCAATGCAAAATTTGTATCTCTGCATTACTTATAGCAATTTGATTTTGTTGAACTTCTTCAAATACTAAACAAGATCTTCTAGTATGCTTCAATCAAATGAAAGTTGTGTGAATCAGATTATTAATGTCAATCAAATCAAGCATTTTTCGATTAAAACAACAAAAAGTGTCTTTCTTTATTCAAGTATAACATAAACAGAACATTCCTTTAAGCAAACACAACATCTAGAGATTGAAAGGTACAAAGAAAAAATGAAAACAGAAAAATAAAGGGGGTCTCAATAGAGACAAAAGGAAACTGTGATGGTGTATTTAGTTGGGGGGATTTGGGGAGGGATTTGGAAAGGGAAAGGGAAAAGGAAAAGGTGTGTGAAACTATGTGAAATATACACATATTTTATTCACATTTCACCTATCTTTTCCATTTCCCTTTCCAAATTCCTCCCTAAATCTCCCAACCAAACGCGTCATAAGACCACAATCAAACATTCTTCTAAAGATTTACTTAGCCTCAAATTTCTTTTTGAGCTCCAAGCAGAAGTCATAGGCCTTGTGCTGGTCAGGAAGTGACTTGGACACACTCTCCTTTTCCATACACCTATGAGCCCAAACAACAAGGGAAGGGCACTCTACCATAATGCCAAAGTTGCCAAACTGGTCACACACACAGAAAAAGTTATAGGATGGAATCAATGCCACATCAACAAAGCCAAAGGTCTCCCCCCCAAAGTAAGGCTTGTCTCCAAGTTCTCCTTCCAACACCTTCAAGTACCCTATGAGGTCGTTCTTCGCCGTTTCTTGGGCTTCGCCTGTGGAAAACAATAGCTGGCTCCCAGCACTATGCATCTGTACAGCATATCATATGTAAATGTTGGTCAGAAGGCAAAATATTTATTGGTTAGACATACTCTAATCCATTTCTAATGCACTATCAATCACACGATGTAACAGAAATTTAAAAACACAAGAATTGCTAGAATTACATTAGGAGAAGGGGATAACGAATCGCGCACCATGTTTATCATATTTACGCTATGCATTATTAAAATGAATAGAGAATTTTCGCTGTCACATTATTCTCATATACTGTTTTGTATTAAAAAAAAAATTTAAAAAGAAAAAAAAAATCAATTTCTGTGTTAGCACTCACCTTGTTGTCTTTGGCAATATAATCGGCCCAGAACCTGGCATGGGATCGGTAGTGAGGATCGGAAGGCAACAACGGAGATTTGTGATTCCAGACTTCATCGATGTACTGCACAATTATGAGTGACTCGCACACCGGTTTGCCGTTGTGGATCAGCACTGGGATTTTCTTGTGGACAGGGCTCATCTTCAAGAGCAGTGGACTCTTGTTGCTCAGGTCCTCTTCCCTGAATTCATAGTCTACCCCTTTCTCTGCCAAGGCAATTTTCACCCTCGTTGAGTAAGGGCTAATCCAGGTGCCCAAGAGAATGAGTTCGTCTGCCATTGATGATGATGAAGATCAAAGATTGAATGAAGAAGAAGAGAGAAGGAAGGTGTGTTTAGGTAATTGTGTTTAAGGTGTTTGTTTTTATGACAGAGAGGAAGTTGGAACTTGGACCTAGTATTTAACTTTTGATGGAAATTCGGAATAATGATCATTGCATGCGTCATGCTTGATAGCATGACATGAAAATGAAGGAAGCAGGACCTTTGCCCTCCATTTCCACGCCAGCCTTCCTCATGCACCCTTTTCTTCTCTTTTATTCCCAATAATACCAGTTGACAGAAATAGAACACACAAAAAATAAAATTTAGGCCCGTTTGTTTTGGGTTATAGCAAGGGGATTAGGATTAGCCTTGGGACTATTAATACCTTGGGACTAACTAATACCTTGGTATTACTACTACCTTGTTTGTTTTGAGAGATAGGGAGGGTATTACTAATACCTTGGGGCCATGTTTGATTCACAATACTAATAGTGAGGTATTAATAATCCAATCAAATTAGTGTGGTCTTGATCAGAAAAGTTATTCAAATAAATTAACCAAGTAAGTTGTTTAATTTTATTCTGTTTTTATTTGTTTATTTAATCAGATTTTATTTTTGTTTTTGTAACAAAATAAAATCTGTGTTTTATTTATTTATTTATTATTTCGAGTTTGATTTTTGTAATCAAACAAATTCTCTCCTTTTCTTTATTTCTTTATATTCCTGTTGTTGTTTTGTACACAATAGAATTTAATCTATTTAAATACAGTGAAGATTGTCCTACAACAAGAACTACAAATAATAAATTACAAAATTGCAAAAAAAAATAAATAAATAAATAACGATTCAAGAAAAATCACCAATCTTCTCACAAATGTAATTTGGAAAAGCAGATATGATTCATTGTATTTTTGTAATACATTGAATTATAACAAAAGTGGTGTTAGTTGTTGTTACTCAAAGTGGTCATTGTTATGAGAAAAATGAAGAGAAAATATCATTTTGCTCTCTAAATTATTATTCAAAAATTAATTTAATATATATATATATATTTTTTTTTAATAATGTCAATTTTATAACTAAATTATTCGATTTTATATCAATTTTACCTTTACCTTCAATTACCGTTTATAATCAAACATAAGTTAATAATGGGACACCTAAACTTCATTTGAAGTTTTATTTTACCCCAAAAAACTATCCCTAAATATCAATAGTCCCATGAATAAAATGAAATATGAGAGTTTTAATTGATATGTTAAAAATAATTTATGGAATAAAATAAAATTTTAAACAAAATTTCAGTACCACGTCACCAAGATGAAGATAGGAGCCTATCACAGGAAGAAGTGATTTTTTTTTATTTTTAAATGTCTGCATCTAATATAGTGCATAATCAATGGCTCTCCTTTATTTTAACACGGTTTTTATATAGTTTAGGCTTATTTTTTTAATAATTTTTTAATTTTTTAGTTAAAATATGATCTAAAAAAAATTAATATGCTTAGGATGATATTTTGTTTTTTTACGAAAAGATGTGTAAAAAGTAAAAAAAAAAAATAGAATCATTGACTTTTTTGTATGAATTGTTAGTTTTTTAGTGACTTTTTGACTTGTAGGTTAAAAAGATTACATCCCAAACGAGGCTTTAGTATAGGCATTTCTCCCTCCAGTTCGTGGTGAGACTGGAGGATGCTGTTAGACCCATAAGGACCCACCACGGGGCCCATTTTGATAATTTGAACTATTCAATGTATAGAACTCGTCGAGTACTATATGCCTGTAAAAAATCACATTGATTTGATTTCGATAGCCATGTGATCAAATCATTTTCTATCAACCGTTTATTTTTTCACCGTTTATTTTATTTTTATACAAAATTGATTTGATCACGTAGCGATTGATATTCAATCAACATGATTTTATACATACATATAATTCTTGACGAGTTCTACACATTAACAGTTTTGATTATCGAAACGAAATCCATAATGAACTCCTACAAGTTCAACAATACCTTCCAGTCCGATCACAAATCAAAAAAAAAAAAGGCAGCCCTTTAGTATAAAGATCTTACAACTAGTTTAATATAAAAATCTTCTACATTATAATAATGATATTTCACGATTCATGCATTGGTGCATATGGTTTTTAAAAACAGTTCAGACATAATTTTTAAAATAATCATATTATTATGATCATATGTTTTAATTTTTTCATTGGTATTATTGTATTAATTTAATAGAATCAATCAGTAATGTTTATTATTTCTTAATTAATTAATTTCTTTATGGGGGCAAAGTTACGTTGACGACTTGGGCAACACTCTCTAATTAATTATTTTTTTCTAGGGACAAAGTTACATAGATTATTTTATTTCCTAATTAATATATTTTTTGAAAACAATATCTGTTTAGAACTGAATTAATATGTTTGGATCCAATCAAATCTGTTGATGAACAACAATTTTTTTGTAAAAAGAAAAAAAATCTAAATGATTATTGGATGTTGATTGCAATTAGTCAAAGAAAAGATTTGAAGATTATACACTACTCACACTTCACTTTGAAAGTTTCACTTTTTTTATAATTTTTTTTTAATCAATTGATAGGAGATTCATTACAAATATGACAATAATTACATTAAATTTAACAATTACAGTCTACAAGCCCAACGAAAGTCGTTCAGCTTGGTTCGTTAGCAATTCTAAGTAAACCTCTCTCTATTTGTAATGTGTATTATAGAATTTTCCTTAAAAGAATTACCCATTTATGGGAGTAATGCAAAAAAATTGCTTCTCTTCATTACTAATGGCAATTTGATCTTGTTCAACTTATTCAAATACTGAACAATATCTTCTAGTATGCTTCAATCAAATGGAAGTTGTGCCAATTAGATTATTAATATTCATCAAATTAGACCTCTTTCAAATTAAAACCAAAAAGTTCTCTTCTTTATTTCAATTATAACATAAACAAGAAATTCCCCTTAAGCAAACACAACATCTAGAGATTGAAAGGTAAAAATAAAAGGACAAATTATTAATAAGTTCAAATAGTTGAATTTAATTTTTATAAAATCCTATTGAAAATAAGTTCTAATTCAATCGTCCTTAAAATTATTTTTTTGTGATTTTTTTTTTTACATATGTTGTTAAAAATTGACAATTAGTAAATTTTTTTTTTTTTTTTTTGGTCATGGCTTTTATAAATTGTCGCTAAAACTTACAATTAGTGACTTTTTTTATAACAAATTTTTCAAATTATCGCTAAAGTTGAAAATTAGCAACTTTTTTGGTGACGATTTTTTTAAACTGACGCTGAAACTCATAGTTAATGACATTTTTTGTGATAATTTTTAAACTGTCACTGAAAATTAATAATTAGTGACATTCTTTTATAGTGTATGAAGAAAAATGTCATTAATTATTATAGGATCTATTGGATAATAAATTTACTAAGTAGGAAGGCAAAAATAAAAGGGGATCCCAAAAGAGACCTATGAAACTGTATGTCATAATACTCCAATCAAACAATCTTGTAGAGATTTACTCGGCCTCAAGCTTCTTTTTGCGCTCCAAGACGCAGTCATAGACCTTGTGTTGGTCAGGAAGATGCTTTGAGACACTCTTCTTTTCCATACACCGATGGACCCAAGCAACAAGTGCAGGGCACTCTGCCACAATGCTGAAGTTGCCAAACTGCTCATATGCAAAGAAAAAGCTATAGTTTGGAATCAATGCCACATCCACAATGCCAAAGGTCTCTCCTCCGAAGTAAGGCTTGTCTCCAAGTTCTCCTTCCAACACCTTTAAGCACCCTATGAGGTCATTCTTCACTGTTTCTTGGGCTTCGCCTGTGGAAAACATTAGCTGCCTTCCAGCGATATACATCTGTAGGACAAAGCATATGTAAATGCCAGTCAGAAGGGGTAATATTTACTGATTAGGATCCTCCATGCCCTGACCCAAAATACTCACAGTGTTTGGTTTGATATAAGAATTTTCAAACCATGAGAATCTCAGTGCTTGTTTGATTAGGCGAATTATAGTGTAAGATTGAGATTATTAATTTATGGGACTCACATTCCATTGTTTAGTTGTACAAGTTCTCCTTCCAACACCTTTAAGCACCCTATGAGGTCATTCTTCACTGTTTCTTGGGCTTCGCCTGTGGAAAACATTAGCTGCCTTCCAGCGATATACATCTGTAGGACAAAGCATATGTAAATGTCAGTCAGAAGGGGTAATATTTACTGATTAGGATCCTCCATCTCCACTGCCCTGACCCAAAATACTCAAGAGTGTTTGGTTGATATAAGAATTTTCAAACCATGAGAATCTCAGTTAGGCGAATTATAGTGTAAGATTGAGATTATTAATTTATGGGACTCACATTCCATTGTTTAGTTGTACATTTATTATTCTGATTAGATTTCAATGATTATTCTGTCTAACAAAATTCACAAATGATGCAAAACATACATATAATTCGAATTATATATTGTTTTTATTTATATTACAAAACAAACATCGACAAGAGAAATTTGGGAATAGAAAATCATGTGTCCAATATTCATGTGAATGAGTGTGACTATTTAGCTCCCCTGTAAATCATTTTCAAGTACAGATAAGACAGAGATAGAAGAGTTAGGGCTCACCTTCTTGTCAACATAATCAGCCCAGAACCTGGCTTGAGCTAGCTGGTGAGGATCAGAAGGCAACAATGGAGATTTGTGATTCCAGACTTCATCAATGTACTCGACAATGATGAGTGACTCGTACACTGGTTTGCCGTTATGGATCAACACTGGGATTTGCTTGTTGACAGGGTTCGCCTTCAAGAGCAGTGGGCTCTTGTTGCTCAGGTCCTCTTCCCTGAATTCATAATCTACCTCTTTCTCAGCCAAGGCAATTTTCACCCTCGTTGAGAAAATGCTAATCCAAGTGCCCAAGAGAATAATTTCGTCCGCCATTGATGATGAAGAAGATCAAAGATTGAATGAAGAAGAGAGAGAGAAGAAAGGAAGGTGTGTTTAGGGAATGTGTTTAAGGTGTTTGTTTTTATGCCAAAGAGAGGAGGTCATTTATAGATAGCATGGCAGCTCAAAGTCGTCGTAGAATTTCCGATGCCATATTTTTCTATTAGTATTTTAGGAAGGAAGGTCATTGCGTGCGTCATGATTGAGCTTAGCTAACTTGTGACAAGTGATCTGCAACATGGCTTGGAGGCTTGATTTTCCCTGATTTCGGGTACCATTCAGTGCGTTTGGTTTAAGTTTTTTAGATTAAGTTTTTTAAAAATTAGAATTTTTTGATTTTCGTATTTTTTTTGTTTTTAGTGAATATTTTTAAAATTTTAAATATTTTTTTTACTTTTTAAAATACACTTTACTTAGATGTATCTAAAAAGTAAAAATTTTGTGAAAAAATAGTTAAAAATACATAAAAATACAAAAAATGTACTGAATTCTCGTATTATTTTTTTTATATATTTTTGGTATTTAGTGAATTTTTAAAAGATTTTTTTCATAATTTTTTTACTTTTTAAGTATATTTATGTTAGTTATGTCTAAATATTAAAAAAATTGTTTAAAATATTAAAAAAATTCAATAAAAACAAAAAAAAATTAAAAAATAAGAAAGTAAATTTTTTTGAAAGTATTTTTTAAAAAACTTAACCAAGCAAGCTGATTGATTTTCCATGGTGTTTAAATGTTGGATGTGATTTTTGGAATACGAGGGAGTTTAGTTTGATCCATAATGTTTGCTTTTTCTCAAGATAGTGCTGGTGATAATGGTCACCTATTGAGGTTCTTACAGTAATCGGTGGGTAACAGTGTGCGTGGTGTTGGGTAATGGGAGGAGAGAGAGAAATAAGGTGGGTTGGATCGGTTTAGTGAGAGGGGATGAGATGTGGGTCGTTTGGTTGCAAAGCTAGTGTGGTGTTTGGTTACAAAATTAAGAAAATATTAACTATCCTATTCGGTAATTGAGATTCGTATGTGTGAAAAATGTATAAAAATTTGTAAAAATATATTATAATAGAATGTGTATTGAAGTTTGTAAGAGAAGTTAATTTGGGCCCACTAAATTAATTAGGTCCAATAGTCCAAGGTTGGTGAGCTCGAATTTATCGCAAGTTCAAGATTGGTGGGCTCGGATTTATCGCCATCGAACGGGCCGAATCACCCTAAGTCTCGAAAGGGTTCAGATCCACGAACTTAGAGACGTACTCGGGCTCGGACTCGAAAGGGTTCGAATCTACAAACCTAGAGATCCGAAGCGCTTGGTTTCGAACAGATTTAGACGCAATCTAGAAGCCGCTCCATTAATGAGTCCCAGAACACTTGCGGGCTCGGAGCTTTCCGGGATCTACGCACCAGAACCATGGGCGTAATGGAGTTCGAACAAAGGATCCGATCCCGAAGACGGTGAATGGAGATAAATTCACTCTTCGGTTAAACTAGCCTATACCCGGGTCGAGGTGGCACGACTCCGGGAGGTCCATGAGACTCGACAATATTTAGCGACGGGGGGATCCTCTAGGACTACCTCGGCCCTTTGGGATGATTGGGGATCATTGGTTAGGTGTGGCTAAGAAGAAGGGTTCGCCGAGAGGTTGATCTCCTCTTCGGGATTTTCCTCATCCTCGGAGAGGTTACCTCCTCGGACAAGATAGTTAGAGAGAATATTCCGCATGTGTCTTGCACATGTGCTCCATCCTACATCATGAGGTGCCTATAAATAGCACCCACCCATAGCTTTACAAGTGGTGGATTTTGGAGAATTAACTATTGGGAAAGAACTAATTTCCCTTCTCCATTATCAATCTTGAGAGTGAAAGTGGGAGATCCATAGGAGAGTCTTGCCATTATTCTCCCTCTAGCCATTTTGCCTTCTTCTTTACCCAATCTCTTATCTCCATCATCTCCTTTACTCTTGTGTTCTTAAGTTGAGACTATTGAAGAACCTAAACCTCTCATTTTCTTCTAGAGACTTCGAAATTGTTCTTCAAGGATCTTCGAAGATTTTTGAATTTTTCAACGGTGTTCTTGAACCCTCTCTTACAAAGTTTTAATTTTAGATGATTATGAAATTTTTTTGTGTTTGATAATAAAATTTGGGAATGTTTATTTGGCTGTTAAGGTTGATATATATATATATATGTAAAAAATATGAGAAATTCTAATATACATACTTTTGAAAGTGGTGTATCATATGCACCTCTAAATAAGTCATTTTTTCTTTAATTATGACTAATTTTTTTCTTTAATTATGATATTATTTTAGTTATAATTCATAAAAATTTTAGTTATGTCTAATGTTGTGTTTAGTTATAATTAATATTTTTTAATTATGACTCAAAAAGTATGAAATTATATTACTTTTTTTTTAGTTATAATGTGTATATAGGGGTGTGTACCATGGTATTTATATAAAAATATATTAAAATGTATAAAACATGGAGAAATCTTTGGTAGCCCGAATTGAGCCGCTCTAAATGGTCTGAATTTGTGTTTATCAATCGATCGCCCGAATGACTGGTCGGCGACCACCCGGACAATCGAGTGAAACATTTGTCTACCGTGATTATCACTTTGTCGACCGTGACTGTTAGCTTTTTTGCTGGATGATCAATCGAATGACCGACTAGATGAAATTCGAACCATTCATGACAAACTCAAATTCGAACTACACAGCATTGCTCTAAAACATGTAAAATATATATTCGAGTTTTATAATCTTTGGGAATTATTAAAAATTAACCAACTACCATCAAGCAAGTTTACCATAAAAGCATTTCTCTAAAACATGTTTTTCTTTTGAGAAATAATATAAAAAATATGTAATTTGATCATATAATTATTGATATCCGATTAATAGAATTTTTGGTAGGCGTGAAGTACTTAACAAATCTTACAAAATGAATGGTTCATATCATAAAATAAGTCCATAATACACCTCAAATTGAGGCACAACAGTCACTGCTTTTCCTTAGCACAGCAGTGACCCCATTTCTTGTAAAATATATATTGAAGTTTTATATTCTTTGGGAATTATTAAAAATTAACCAACTACCATTAAGGAGGTTTACCATAAAAGTATTGTGGTTAGGTTAATGGTACGTGATTACAAAGGAAGAAATAAATACAAAAAAATGCCTCAATTAAGTGTAGGGATAAATTAATAAAAGACTACCTTTTATTAATTTATATATTGATATATATCTCTAACTGGCAACAAATAAATGGCATGAAATGCAAATACATTTCATTTGGAGTCCAGATCCTCTGCCATACTTTCCTGTGAGGTTTCCTGCAGTGCCCCAAAACGACGTCGTTTTGGGGCAAAAAAAAAAAGAAAAGAAAAGAAAACCTCAGAACAGAACACACCGCTGTCATCATCTCTCTCTCTCTCTCTCTCTAAGCAAAACCCACATCAGTTAGAACACAAAACCCACATCAGTTAAGGAATTCTGGGGTTGACATTATTTAGAACAAACCACCATTGAAGAAGATGATGGCCTTGCCTCTGTTGCAGACAGTTTCGAACTACAATTCAGTAATTTCTTCGACAATTTCGAATTAGACTTGTGAATTTTATCCAACTCTTGCCTTAGAGCCAACACTTTGGTGTCTTTATCGTCGATTTCGGACTGCAATCGATTGAAGACGGTGTCCAGAGCCCGAAGCTTGCTCTGATTCTCTTGTACCTAAGCTTCCGAGCAAGACCCAATTGGGAAATCAAGAATGCAATTGGGGTTTTTGCGAAAATTCCTAAACCAATTCCTGAAATCAGACAATCTCTGAAGATGAGAGACCAGAGCTTTATCGGCAGCTTTAATGGTGTCTTCATCGAAAGGCAAATGGGTTGTCTGTAACTGAAGATAGTAAGCCTCAAACGATGAAATCGTAGCGAAAAGGGAAGAAATCAAAGTCTCTGCGAACTGGGTATCGATGCTTCGAATTGGGGAAGATGGTTTTGAAGCAGAGGATTTGTGGGTTTGGTCTGGTTTGATCACAACGACCTTCTGATCGGTAATGAATTCTTCGGCGTCTTCCTCGGCGAAGAATTCGAATGTTTTGGTCTTAAAAGCGAGTGCGAATTTCTGAAACATTTCGAAGATTTGTGGTGGCTTTGACGGACCTTCCATTTCTGGCATCTCTAATTCCCTTCCACTTTGCCTCTTTCAATAACTATATATATATATACATAGAGAGAGAATTCAACAAGTTCACCTCTGGTTTAGAGAGAGAAAGTAGACTCCATAGCTGTGAGTGAGAGAGAGAGTTGGCCAAAAACGACGTCGTTTTTTTGCCACTGCAGGAACCACCGCAGGAAAGTATGACAGAAGATCCAGACTCTTTCATTTGAGGGTAAACTTGACAATCTATGACCTTTAATAGTTGATGTCGTCATATGCCATTTGGTCAATAGACGTCTGACCGACGGAAAGACCTCATTGTTGCACAAATTCCTAAAGTAAAGGGTGTCAGTGTGATTTAAGAAGAATAGGGGGGTGTCAGTGTAATTTATTCAAAAATAAATCATAACCTCACAGCAAAATAAACTCTTTATCAATCCTGTTTTCTCTGCAATTCTCTTCTATTTTCTTATTTTTATGATACATTTTTTTATGAGTAAATTAGAATCACATTTTTTGAGATTTACTTAAATTATAAATTATTTTTTGTGGTTCTAAAAATTATATTATGCCTTTTAAGATTTCTAATTTCATAACAAATAAGTCTTTTTATTAATAAATCATCAAGTTAATTAATAATTTTTAATAATATTAAAATTTTATTTTAATTAATAATTCAAATAATTTTATTATTGGTGTATTTGTAATTTCTCTTTTTTATATAGAAAAGTTATAAACAATTATATTAAAATAAAAATAAATTATATATAGAACAAAAATAAAATAAAAATAATAAGACCCTAAAAGGTCAAACAACGTAACGATAATTATAAATAACAAATTACAAAGTTACAAAATATATATATATATATATATTCAATCAGTTTGATTTTGATTTTTGAATTCAGTTTTTTGAAAATTAGTTTTTTGTTTCTCGTATTTTTTATTTTTAGTGAATATTTTTAAAATTTTAAGCATTTTTCTTTTA